TTTTTTTTTTTTTTTTTTTTGTTGTTATTTGGATTTATGTTGGATATACCCCAGACTATTAGTGGTGGGCAAGAGTCTAAGGGAGGAGAAATACACTTTCCTTGTAGAGATAGTGCTATGGAAAAGAAGGAAGAAGAAATCTCTACATTCGCCTTTTCAAGGAATGTAAAAAACCCAATAAAAATAACAACAACAATAACAAGGGAAACAGAAACAGAAAAGACACCTGTAGAATCAACTTCATCGTTGAGAAAAAAGGATGTTAACACAGATTTTCCGCAAACTTCACAAAATAGTACGTCTGGAGTGTCTATGAAAGCATCAGGAGGAGGGATGGATAAGAACTCTAATCCATCAAGAGAGCGTATTGTACACCTCCGTACTCTCGCTTCTACGATCACTCCACTTCACCGCTATTTCTCCTTTGTAACACAAGATAAGAGAATAGGAGGAAAGGATTTGTACTCCCCAAATTGTGTTCGTTGTCCAAATTGTAAGGGATGTCAGTTGCATATGCAATTCTGCAGTGGAGCTTATGGGATGCGGCATATGTTGGCATGGATTGTGCGAAGAAAATCTCCTAAAGTAGGAGAGAAACGAACTATTGAAATGCGTTATATCTCTGAAAATACATCTAATCTTAACTATTCATGGCGTTCAGTTTGCCGGTTTGAGATTGGCCCTGTTGTAATCACACGACATCTCATTCACTCCAGTAAAGAACAAATAATAGAGACTGTGGAGCGAGGTGGGACTAATGGTACTTTTGCTGGAATGATATCTCCCCGTCCGCTAAACTTCCTTGATGTTTTTTTCGGTATCTTCTACGGTACAACTGATAGAGGAAGAGATAAACGGTATTATCGTGTCTTGCAGCGAACAGCCATGCGGTCAGTCGCAGCACAGGCACGGGCATTATGGGAAAAACTCACTTTTTCACCAGAGAAACAAAACCTTGCGGTATTAGCACAAATACCAAGGAATAAAAAAGAAAACGGTGATTTCATTCCACAACGTGTACAAGTGGATTGGCGATGTCCTCCGCTTTTTTTCTCACTATTGCCAAGTGCCCAAGAAGGGAATAGTGGTTTAACATTTGTTTTGTGGATTTCTGTCCTCGCCCGTTCTTGTCTCACTGCACATGTAATGGATAACGGTGAGTTGTGGCGATCCCCTCACACATGTACTGTAGAAACTGAAAAAGAAAAGAAGGAAACAACAACAACAACAACAACAACAACAGTAAAGAGTACTACTACTCCATTATGGGATGAGAACTTCATATCTACATCCAACGGAAAGTGGGAAGGTGAAGTGAGATGTCGACGTTGTCATATTCCTGGCAGTCATTGGGGACTCATCACTCGACGACACAGAGAAGAAAAGGATAAAGTTGTCACTATATTACGTGTACGCCGTTCATGTATTCAACGAGAAGTGACACGTCGTGCAATACTAAGTCACTATCATAATAACAGTATTCATAAGAAGCCGAATATGAATAATGGTGAAAAAGAAATTAAAAATGACGTGATATGGGTAAATAAACAAAAGACACGTGCCCAGTTTATGGCACTTCTGGTTGCATACATGATGCGGACTACTGTGTGTGGTCCATATAAACAACGACATCTCACTTCATCTCCATCAGAGACAGAGGCGATAGCATCAGTGTAAGATATCACATTGTTTTTTTTTTTGTTTTTTTCTTCACAACTTGAATAATTATAAAAGAGTGGTATCGACACAAGTCTTTATTTTTTTATTTTTTTAGTAAATTACCCGTTTCACATACTCACTTATTTCTTCGGGATTTGATTATTATTATTATTATTATTATTATTATTATTATTATTATTATTATTATTATTATTATTATTTACACTACGAGTGTGTGGGAACCGTTATTAATCACTTTTATGCTTTTATTTATTTATTTATTTATTTTCCTGGTGTTCATTACAACCGATAAGAATGAGGGAGTTCTAGCAAGATGCTAATTTAAACAAAAGAACAAAAAAAAAAAAATCAAACGAAACTAAAACCATTGGAAAATGATTGCGTTTTCTTTTTCTTCTTATTCTTTTTCTTATTCTTTTTTTTTTTATGAAGTGTATTGCCAACTCCAGCAATGGACTCATCCAGTAGAAGATCGCAAACCTCTTTGAGGAGCAATCGTGGAAATGGAGGGAGACGGCCCACGATCACACACCTGGAGCAGAACAAGAAGGACGGCATTTCCCTCAAACGAGCAGATATAGAGGCGGCATTCGCCTTCTTTGATGTGCAAAACAAAAAAGAACTGAAACCACGTGATCTTAAGATGCGACTCTCTGCCTTTTATCCTGGTATGACAAATAAAGAATTCAAGTTCCTCCTTGATGAGACCACAAATGGTAGCTTTACAGTAGATTCCTTATGGAATATCATTGAAAATTTTCACGGCCTACACACATCAGCGGCGGAAAGTCTTAGGTTTGATCCTGTAAAGGAAGCTTTCCATATTTATGACCCGAATGGTCAAGGAGTTGTGGATGTTGAGGCACTTGCTGGTATTATGAAGCGTATTGGGCTAGGCGAACTCTCTCGTGAGGAGATGGATCTACTCATTCAAACTGCAGACTTTGATAAAGATGGAAAAATTAATCTTGAGGATTTTCGAAACCTTCTGAGGATTGGAAGGTAGTTGTAAAGAAAAAGAAAAAAAAAAAAAA